CTCTTGGTTAATTGTTTTCTGTATTTTTTTCCGCTTAAGACGATGTTCCTATGAGCAACGTCAAAATTTGCTTTTTATGAATGAATGATAACAAAACACCTTGGTTCTCTGGAAAAGTCGGTGTTCATTTTTTCCTCTTTCAAACATACTGCCGATGTCTGTTCCGGTATCTAAAACTCAATTTCCATTTAGTCCAGTCTCGTTGGACTTTGAAATATTTTATTTTCGACTGCTGGGCACGCTTTTAACATGTCAACGTATCAGAAGTTCCGTTATTAAATGAAGCCTTCCGAGACAAATCACAACATTCCGTTCTCTAGAAAAATCGGTGTGCGTGAACATTTCCTTTTCAGCGTGTTGTTGATCCTAGTTGTGTTTTCAGTTTATGAATATTTATTTCTGAAAATGACTTAGAAGGCCTTGGCGATTCTTAAAGTTTTTCCGCTCTCATTTGTTGTCGTAAATGTCTCTATAAAAATTCACAGTTGTCGTCAAAAGTTTATGACCGCTTGTTTTGCGTGTATGTCTAGTGTAGAAGTCAGCTTTATACGTGATGTGCCCACGCCTGTGCTTTACACGCGATGTGTTCACGCCTGGTGAGCACGACAAAGTACTTAGGAAAGGTCAGTGCCATCCCTTTTACATTATCAAATATTAAACACTTCGTGGAAGAACGCGCCGTCGGAGGATGTGAAAACTCGCGTTATTTTACGTCACTGGCCGCTATAGTTTTCTGAATTTTTTTGTAAGACATGCAATCACCGCGAGGTTTTTTTCTACTAATAATGATGTAGCCATTTTGGTGGGAATTCTGAAATTACATTTCGACATAACATTTGCACTAACAGATTGCTAGTGGATCGTAAACAGATTCTCAGTTTTCTCCACGATATCCATTTGACCTACAGCGAATATCAGTAATCCGTAAGGGCCTTACCTTTTTGGACACAAAGATTTGCTTCTCCTCAGCTCCTAATCTCTGTCTAACTTCAATGAGGCAGGTCTCGCCTCACACTGAATGAGAAGCTCTTTCAAAGCTTTAATTTATAAACTAAGAGGCCCAGTATGACGTCAACAAGCTTTACATGTGGACCTGGCATAATCGTCTACACGTATGAGAAATAAGATTATTTTTAGGGCATCATGACAAACTTGACAAGTAACATGCACGCACAGTCGACGCAATATCAAGTGATAACTTCCGATATCCGCATTGGTCACCAAAAAACCGCGTTCACCATTCACCAATATACATTCGTATTTCCCTCCCGTAATATAAGGGTCAGTGTTTCGTGCTGTTTGCCGGAATACGTCTTTTAATTTCAGCACTTAAAATTCAACGGTATCTCCTTGTTGATATTTTTTCGTCTTTCCATCCCCGTTTGTATATGAAGATGTATTGGTATTGCGGGAGAAATTCGTTTTGGCTACTCGTGGGTTATGACTATTCATCAAACTGA